TAGACATAATAGGAAACTATTGGAGTTCATTGAGTAGGTGAATCATATGGTCAGATCTTTTAAGGAAGATTGCTCTTCAGGAAATGCATTAGAATGTTGACAAATTTGAGACAGGAAGGCCTGTTAGATTTGCAGTATTCTAGCCAAGAGGTAGTGAGGGCCTGAAACACAGCAGTAGCTCTGTGAATGAAAAAGAAGGATAGAATGGGAGAGACGTTGTAAAGGTAGAAATGGCAAGATTTGGCAGCTGATTGGCTATGTGAGATGAAGGGAGTATAAGGAGTTTGGGATAATGCCAAGATTATGAACCTAGGAGAGTGGAATGATGGTGGTGCCTTCTACAGAAACAGGGAATTTTGGAAGAAAGGAGTGTTTTATGGGGGAAGATAATGAGTCCAGTGTTAGATACATTGAATTTAAGATTTCTCTGGGACATCCAGTTTGAAATGTCTAATACACAGTGGATAGAAAGCTGGACTGTTAGTCTTCAGACACATAAGTCACTTAACCTCTTAGGAAACCAAGCAACTCTTTAAGAGTATAAGTTATAAAACAATTGCTGGTCTCCAGTGGTAGAGGGAGGTCTCCTATCCTCTTTCTTTTGAATAAAGTAGACTCATTCAGATTTATAGTTCAGTCACGGATTTCATCCCAGTGAGTTTCACTGAAAGTCTAAGTCTTCAGAGAAAGCTTAGAGCAGTGTCCTGCTCCCTTCCCAAAACTTTTGGCTTATTCCAAACAGTTTGGTCTTGCCCAAGTAATACTAACTACAGTCATGTATGGAAACTGCTAACCACATATGCCTAATTACTATGCAGTATAATAATAATTATGTCTGTAATTATTGCTGTAAAGATTCTACAAGTACTCAAGTGTCAAGAGATTGGTACCATGTTTTATCATTAGTCTTCTGGAATTGATGGGGTGCTTGGGCCCCAGTTCTAATCATATCTCTGGAAGCCTCCCAATTTCTCAGTAGGCCCCTGCCCTGTGAGAAAATTTTCTCTTGTTGCAAAATATATTCTCTTATCAGAACAGACACAGGGGTGCCTCGCCCAAAGACTTCTGTCCCTGGCTGACCCAAGGACTCTCCCTCAAACTAGATCCCCAGGGTCCATGCCTCTGACAACTCTTTCAGTGTCTGGTATCAACAAAGTTATCTCTTCGGATTCCCTGCATTTTCCTATCCATAGATCGTAGGCACCTGCTCCCAAAAACACCTGGACCTCTAGCATATCCCTTGAAGTCCCTAGTGGACCTAATTAGCATCCTTGATTCCTTTTCCTTGTCCCTTTTCTGTATAAGCCCCAGCACCCTCCTAACTAGCTTGCAGGTTCCCTAAGGACCTTTCCCTGCCTCTATTGGCATCATAATGAACTTTTTGCCACTGGACTAAGAGAAGGCTTGAGTGTGTGAATTTGTTTCAGGCGACATTGCCTTGGCATTCTTGGGGTCCCAGCTCCAAACCTCTTCAGAATAATAGTTGGTCATTTCTTTGATTACACTTGATAAGACTTTCAGAGTTGTTTGTCTTTATACAATGTTTTTGTTATTTTATAAATTATTTTCTGTTCGGCACCTAATTAATTTTTTCCTTTGATTCAGGTGAAAGTAATTCTGATCTCAGTGGAAGTGAGGGGGAAGATGATGAAGATTTTACTACAAGGAAAAATAAAGCCAAAGAAAATAAAAAGAGAAGTGCTAAGGTCAAAGCCCTGGTGGAAAAGAAAGAGAAGAAAACTTCTAAGACTTCTCACAGTTTAGGTAAGCTTGATTTGAAACACTGAGCTTTGCCATAGAAGTATGTTTTGTTTGCTCTATTGATTCTCTTCTTTTAAAATTGTCCTCCTTCTAATTATTTTGGAAATGCAAGTTTCTGGTTAAAAATACTTTCACAAAAGTGACTACAGTCTGATTCATTAAAATTCAACTATGCTAACTTCTGATAACTCCTTTTTTTGCTCCTGAAAGTATGGAACCTTTCATCTAAAATGCATTCAATTAGAAATTACGTCTTTTCAACCTCACCACTTTAAGATTATCAACTTGTTTTTTAAATACTTGGGGAATTAAGACTTCTTGAAGGAGCTGTTACTTAAGCTGAGCCTCCAAGCTACTGATATTACTGTAATTTCCTATAAGTTGCTTGATTTTCAAAAGATAATTGTGTAATATTTAAAGTATGAAAATCAGTTTGGCTTATTTTTGCCTTTTTTCTTTTTCAAACAAGTAGCTCCAGTGGTCTCTCATCCAGCACCTGTTGAATCAAAACCAGCACCAAAAGAAGCTTGCCTGTCTTCGAAGCTTGTTAGGAAGCCATTACAAACACTCAGCCCTTTAGCTGAATCTAAGAGGCCCAAATGGGTCCCACCAGGTGAGGAATTTTTATTTATCCAAGTAATCATAGTGCTTGGAGAAATTAGTGGCTGCATCTGTCTGTTTAGTTAGCAGCTTCTTATCTCCAGAATTTGGCTGAAACTTAAGGGACATTTAGTAGTTTGTGTTACTTCAGCAAAAAGAACATGGAGCAAGAGGTCCTAGAGTTTGAGAACCAGCTATGAACCTTATTTGTCTGAATGGCTTTAGATGCTTAGCCTTTCTGTGTGTCAGCTTTCTCTTGCTGGGGTTGAAGGGGACAACTGTAGTGTGGAAAATTACATTGTACACCATCAGACTGTTGATATATTTGTTAGATGTGCTTGATTGCTTTTTTTCCCTCTTTTATTCTTTAACTCCCTTCCCCTTCCATAGCTTAAGTCAATGATCAAGTTCTATCCATTCTTCTTTTGTAATTTCACCTAAACCTATCCCTTTCTTTCCATTTCCACTGCTTCCACCCTAATCTAGGTCTTCACCATTTACATGTGAATTAAACACAGCCTCCTAACTAGTTTGTTTTTTGATCACAAATCTCTCTTGCTTTCAGTCCTTCCTACTTATTTGTTACTGGATTAGCTTAAGTGATATTATCACTTCCTATTGCCTATGAAATAAAGTCCAGACTCCTTAGACTGGCATTCAGTTTGGTCTCTGATTACTGCTGCATCCTTGTCTCCCCTAGTCTCGTATAAACTTTAAGCCAAAATAGTCTTCTCATTCTTTGAACATACTTTGCATATATACCTTTGCTCTTTGTCTCTTTTCTGAGCTCTTTTTAGGCAAAGCTCATGTTTTACCTCTTCTGTGAAAGCACCTTAAGAGAGTGATGCTTGGTTTTAGACCCAGGAAAGCAGCATTGGGTCCAGCTCTCTACTTTTACAAGTGATGAGCTGAAGCCCAGGGAAGTAAAGTCATTGGTCATTAGGAAGTCCTCAATGTAGAATCTCATCTAGTTCAGAATTGTAGTCTCTTAGGCTTTGAAGAGACCTTTGAGATCATTTAGTCCAACCTATCCCTGAACAACAGTCCATACTACTCCCCACCTTACAATGGTCCCCTAGCCTTTTCTTTGAAGTCAGTGAGGTCATCCAATACCTGACAAGCCAGCCCATTCCATTTCAAGATAGCACTGAGTGTTAGAAGTTTTTCCTTCAAGCTTAAATTTGCCTCTTTGAAATGTCTTATTATTAGTGACCTTTGGGATGATCTAATCCAACTTCCAACTCTTTCCCTTCACAGATGAGGAAATGAAGACTTAAAGTAATATGACCTGCCCAGGGACAAACAGATAGTGGGTGGCAGAGTAGGGATTTGAACTCGGATCCCCTTGTTTTCAATCTAGCACTCTTTCTACTGGGCTGTCATCTAGTGCCAAGCAGTGCATTTAATCCCTCTTCCTTATGATAGCCCTTCATATACTTTAAAGACAGCTACTATTGCTCTCCTAGGGTTTCTCATTCTCTGATTAAACATGAAAAGTTCCCTTAAATTGGTTCTTATTGTCATCAACTTTAGATGCCCTCACTCTGCTGAGATGAAGGTTAAAATAATGAATAGAGTGTTGGGCTTGGAATCAGAAAGATTAGTTCAGATTCCACCTCTGACAATAGTATTCCTTACTATACTTCGCTTACCATACTTGTAGCAAATTATGGCTTAAGTCAATTCGTATCCATCCAATTTTGTAGAGTTTATTTGGCAAAGTGAAAATATATTTTCCTATAAATTCAGATTAAGGGCATAGGAGCAATGTAGTCTCACTGTGTGCCATATAAAATGAATGTTTCCTGGAAGGACTTTTCTGCTAAAAGGCAGGTTTCTGCAAGACCAGAGAATATGTTGTATCATTTATGGACAATAGTTCTATCCTTAATGTTTTGTATTAGTACCTCAGCCTTTTTTTACCACTTGATTTAGATGACTTTAGATATTCAAGCACCTTGAACAACAGCTCATTGCATCTTTATCCTCATTTATTCATGTGACATATCCTTCTGTGGGATAAGGGAAGATGCACAGATCATCTCTATATTTTTCATGCTTTATGTGTATTTCTTTCTTTTCCTGCATGGTCTGAATAATTTCAGCCCAGTATTACTGTCATTCATAATTTCCTTGAATACATTTTCATTTAACTATAAGATATAGTACGATCCCTATTTTGTTTTCCATGTGAGCAAGTTAGCTAGTGTACAATGTATTATTAGAGAAAGTATGTCATTTAGAAAAGTCAAGGATCAGAAATTACTATAGTTGGTTACGGTTTGTACTTTCGAGGTTTTCTTACAAGTAGACTGACTTTGTATTGCTAGCTCTAGCCTTATTTCTTTTAATTTCAGATAAAGGTTTGTTAGCCTTAATACTTTTCTACTCATTCATCCACACTAAGGGTAGCAATGGGAAGTGATTCAAGGCTTTATACTAGTGGTCATAATATGGTGTCATTGTTTTGGATAGACTAGAGTGGGGAGAAACTGAAGGCAGGGACGTTAATAAAGTAGTTATTGCAGAAATAACAGTAAGAAGTAATAATAGCTTGGCCTAGAATGATTGCATTTGGAATAGATAGAAAGATATAGTAAGTATTTGCTGAACACAGCTAACTAGTGGAAGAAACTTACCTTAGATAAATCACCTAACCTTTCCTCACCTTGATTTCTTAATTGGTCAGTTTCTTCTAGTCCTAAAATATGATTTCTGTGGAAGAATTGAAAGGCTGTTAGGGAAGGGAAAAAAGGAAAAGGACGACTCACTATTGTAATTAATCAGCAAACATCTACTGTCACCTCCCGTGTGCCAAGCCCTCTGTTGGATGCTAGGGGTACAGAGATAACAGTCAAACAGTCTCTGCCCTGAAGGACCACAAGATCGTTTCTGAGCACCAATATATATAAATATATGTAGAATAAATACAAAGTAAATACAACGGCACTTAAGGATGAAGAGTATTAGCAGTTAAGGGGATCAGGAATGACTTCCTATAGAAAAAAGTTTAAGTTGAATCTTAAAAAGAAGTAAGGGATTCTCTGAGGTGGAGATGAGAAGGGAGAGCATTCCAGGCTTAGGTGGCAGCCAGTGCAAGGACACAGAAACAGAAGATGGAACATCTGTGTGTAGAGCAGCAAGAAGGACAGCTTGCCTCGATGTTAGTGTGCTGGAAGGAGGAACAATCTGTAGTGAAACTGGAAAGTTAGGTGGGGGCCAGATTGCAAAGAGCATTAAAAGCGAAACAAAGGAAATTAGCTATAACCTAATGGAGTCAAAAATAGATCCTGGGCCACCAGACACCCCAAAACCGAGAATTTAGAGTTGGCCATACTTATTTCACCTTTTTCTGGGTCGAGAAAATGTTGGTGTCACCATAGGATTCAAAGATTGTTTAAAGATAAAGTTTATTTGCTACATTTTCCTTTTGAGGTCCATGTATGTCCATGTAACTTACTGTCTCTTCTCTGTACTTCATTTTAAAATGATCACACTCATACTTTGAACAGCCATGTATATAAATAATGAATCTTAATGATTTTATGATTTTTTGCAATTTTTGCACTGTAAGTGAACTTTGGGAAGATGACTTATAATTCTAGCAACATGTGGTGCATTCTCTTTTAGCTTCATCCGGAAGCAGCAGCAGCAGCAACCAACTTGGAGGAGTTTCTGTCAAGTCTCCCAGTCATAGTCTCCGACTTGGTCTGTCGAGATTTGCACGAGTTAAACCTCTCCATCCAACTGCCAGTAGTACCTAAAAATCTTTGATAAACGAATTCTAGTTTTGAAAGAATGTTCTTATTTGAAAAGGGTAATGATAGTTCTTTTCAATTTGATGCAGAAAATCTTAAATCTAAAAACTTAAGGATGTTGCTAGTCTATTCATGATTCCAAAGAGAACTTTGTAAAGAACTATCTTCTAATTCGTTTCTACCTAAAGAACACATATTCAATTTGGAATAACAAGTCAGGTGATGTCAGTTTTGGAAGTACTAAATGTATGATATAATGTAACAGATGTATACTTACAGCCAATTATGGCTTAGTGTAATTTACGTCAACGTAGTTTTGTAGAGTTTATTGGGAAAGTGAAAATTACAATTACACTTCCCAGTCTTCATGTAACACTTATCTTGTAGAAGCTAATTAAGCTAAATAGTATGTTTTATTGTAAGGATGTTTCATTTTAATAAGCAAAATATTTTTCTAATAAAAATGTGTAACTTTAATATTTTTAAATAGTTGCTGAATTGTGACTTATGGCTCAAATTACAATTGTATATAATGTATAAATAAATTTTCATGACAGTTTATAAAGCTTCAATATTGTCAGGCCCTTCCTTCTAGAGAAAAGAGGAATAAATATGAAACTAGCAATTTTTTTGGCTTTTTTTTTCATGAAATGCTTCTCTTGATGCCAGTATCCACCAGTTGCTCTAATAGGTTACATATTGTGATAAATTGTAGCCTTCAATCAACAAACATTTTTAAAAGGTTCATTATGTCCCATACACTGTGCCTTGGGATATAAAAAAGGGCAAAAATAGCCCAAGGAACTTACTTTCTAATGGAGGAGTTAATATAGGTACATTATAAGATACATAGTTAACAAGAATTCACTAGTTGCCTGGCACTGTGGGCTAAGCACTAGGGATACAAAAAAGGGAAGAAAACATGGTTCCTGCCCTCAAGGAACTCATGTTCTAATAGGAGAGACAACATGCAAGTCACACTGCATACAGTATATACAGTATAAGTGAAAGGTTATCTCAGGAAAGGGCCTGGCAATGGCAGGGGGGTATGTATGTGTGTGCAAGGAAATGCTTCTTGTAGAAGGCAGGATCTAGGCTGAGTCTTGAAAGAAGCCAAGGAGAACATTCTAGGTATGGGGGATGCCAGTACAATGCACAGAGCTGGATGATGTAGTGTCATATGTGAGGGATAGCAAGAAGTCGGTGCAGTTTGGTTAAAATGTGAAAAGACCAGAAAGGTAGGAAGGGGTCAGGTCCTGAGGGGCTTTAAATGTTCGTTAGACTTTTATATTTGATCCTGGAGGTAATAAGGAGCCACTGGAGTTTATTGAGCTTGGGAGGGTCAGGGGATTGGAGATGACATGATCAGTCCTGCATAGATCATGTCAGCAGCTATGTAGAAAGATTGGATTAGGAAGAGAGTTGAGGGAAGGGAGACCAATCAGAAGACCGTTGGAGTAGTCGAGGGGGGAGGTTGTCTGAGTGGAAAGAAGATGTATGTGAAATGCTGTGAAGGTAAAAAGAACATGTTGGTTGTATGGGATGAGTGTGGGTAAGCAAAAATGTCAGTTGAGATTGCAAGCCTGAATGATTAGGGGAATAGTAGTAGTGTCAACAGTGATAGTAAAGTTGGAAAGAGGATGGGGCTTGGAAGGAAATATGAGTTCAATTTTAGATGTGTTTGAGGACATCGAGTTTGAGATGTCATGTGGGATAGGCGCTTAGAAGAGACTACATGTAGTCTTGATATTCAGATTTGGGAATCATCTGCATAGAGATGATAATTGAACTTATGGGAGCCAATGAGATCATTAAAGGAGACAGAGGAGAGAAGAGCCCTGAGGAACAACCAAAGTAGTGGATGTTCCCTGAATGAAGATCCAGCGGTGGAGATTGAGAAAGAGTGATCAGACAGGTAACTAGAGAGGAAAGACTCTGGCTGCTGAAGGGACTGGGAAAGACTGAATAATTATATAAACATGATGTTTTTACTAACCATAAAGGATATACTTTATCCACCATAATGTAACATGTGCTGATATACTCCAATAGATCTATGATCTCATTAATGTAAAGGTAGAATCAACATGATGTGAAGAATAAGGAAGAAGGAAGAGTCAATGATGAGGACAACTATGAGATTGCAAATCTGAGTGACTAGAAGGATGGTGGTGCTCTCAATAGTAACAAGGAATTTAGGGAGAATGTAAGCTTTTTGAGGGGTTGGAGGTCATGGTGAGAATGAAGTAATTTCTTGTTTGTAATGTGTTGCCTAGAGATTGCTCTTAGGGTGATAAATACTCAACTTCAGTTATTGTAGTATTATGTGAGTCAAAGCCAATATATCACCACTGGAGGAATGTTGGTGTTAAAAATATAGTCTTTTGGTCCCATGGATGTTAAAATATTTATAGCAACACTTCTTATAGTTGCAAAGAACTGAAACAAAGTAGATACCTATCAATTAAAGATTGACTAATCAAACTGGTATGTGAATGTAATGGAATATTACTGTGCTGTAAGAAATGAACATGATGATCAGTACAGAAAAGTATGCAGACTTACTGAACTGATGCAAAATGAAGTAAGCAGAACCAGAAAAACAATATACACACAGCAATGAAGGGAAGGGGGAAAAAAACCATTGAAGTACCTACCATGTGGCAGGCAATTTACATTTCATTCGATCCTCCCAGCGAACCCTGGGAGATAGGGTTTTATTGTTCTAATTTTACAGTTAAAGAAACTGTAGCAGAAAGAAGGTAAGTGACTTGCCTAGGAATACAGAGCTAATAAGGTCTTAGGCCACATTCAAACTTAGATCTTCCTGACTCTAGGCCCACTAGTACACTATCCACTGCACCACCTAGTTACCTCTGAACAAAAATGAAACAAAACTGAATACTGCAAAATTATGACCAAATTTAGCCCCAAAGAAAAGATACAAGAAAACACCTCTCCTTTGCAGAAGGATCCATAAGTATAGAAGATTGCAGAGAATGTCAGGGTGTTTTGATGGGTTGGTTAGTTTTGCAGAAGGTTTTTTTTCTTTCTTCCTCTTTTTATTCTCTATTATAAGAGATTGCTCCCTGGGAAGTGAAGGAGCAGGAATACACCGGGAAATGTAGGTGTAAAAACATCAGAGAGAAACTTGGAGTCATTTCTGTATTAACATACAGTGCAAAGTTAAAGAGCCACATTTATTTCATCCAATCCATGACAATGCAATGCATGTGCTAGCATAAATGAAATAAATGTGGCTCTTTAACTTTCTGACTAACACGTAGGCTGAAAGAAGGTAAGGTAAAAAAGATTTCTGAAATAACATAGGCCTATTATTCTCTGTCAAATAGTTAATTGTCCTTCCTGTATTTATATTAAGTAATAGCTTTTCAAAAGGTTTCTTCCAACTTTAGAACTAGCCCTTTAGTACCTTACAAGATGTGTGGCTTCCTTTGTTGGGTAGTTTTCGTGAATTGCTGTGGTCTAGTAAATAATCAGTCTTATGATGCTGAACTTCCCCAAACTTAAAGCTGGCTCAGATGACAGTCACACAGAATCCATTACCCAACACCTACTTAAAGCTTTTCCTGCTTGGTAGGATATGCCAAAACTTATGCTCCATTGAGGGGCAGCTGGGTGGCATAATGGATAGAGTGCTGGGCCTAAAGTCAAGAAGACTTTTCATGAGTTCAAATCTGACCTTGGACAGATGGGTGACACTGGTCTGGTCACTTAATCCTGTTTGCCTCAGTTTTCTCATCTGGAAAAAGAGCTGGAGAAGGAAATGACAAACCACTCCAGTATCTTTGCCAAGAAAACCCCAAATGGAGTCACGAAGATTCAGACACTGCTGAATAACAGCAATGCATCACTGACATGAGAAGCTCTATTCTCCCAGGGAGCACTGGAGAAGCACTTTCGTGTCGCGAACAGCCCAATCGGCTATGAGCTCACTTCGGAAGCTCTCCTGAAAGATTCAAGTCCAGCTTGATCTTTCACTCTGAACACACATTGATGAGGAGGGAGACAAGATGGCAGCAACTCCGTTTATTAGAGGTATAGCACAGTGTTTTATATCTTTGACTCATGGGAACATACCCCAGTGTAACATCGGACAAAGCAACAAAGTTTACATATCTTTACCAATAGGCAACACCGAGAATTTTTGTCATGCGAATACCAAAGTATCAACAAGCACATCTCTTTGCAACATTATCCTGGCTGTGTCCTTCTCCTGGGCTGTTCCCGTGAAAACACCATGTACTTCTTGTTCCCGGAATGTCCCCATGCTTGATACATGAGCTAGCAATACTTGATACATGGTTGTGCTAGAGCTGACTGTGCTTGAGCTAGCAGCATTGTTTATGGTTGAGCTTGCCTAGCCGCCCTTCTTTCTGGGGAGTGGAGAACCCATCCAGGCCAAGGAGCCGGCTCCTCACCTGAGAGGGCTTATACAGCCATCAGGGTCAGAGTCCTACTCACCTGTGGTCCTCTACACTTTCGCAGAATTGATCAGGGCCAGTTATGTAACTCATAAATGAGTTATAACAAGATTATGACAAATTTCAACAGGCTTAGACTAGTTTGTTTACATCTTTGTGAAAAAGGGCATTATATTAGATTTAAAATAGTACTTATATTTCTACTATTCATTACTTATGTAATCTAATTGGCACATCCTTCATAATATTCATGCAGACACAACTCTTTGTATTATATAATACACACACACACATTCACATAGTAGTGTATACATACTCTCCCCCTTTGTACATGCTGCCTCCTTGTTCAGTTGTGTCTGACTTTTTGGGGTTTTCTTGGTAAAGATACTGGGAGTGATTTGCTATTTCCTTTTCCAGCTCATTTTACAGATGAACTAAGACAAATGAGGGTAAGAAATTTGCTCAGTGTCTGAGGCCAGATTTGGACTCATGAAGGTGAATCTTCCCAACTCCGGGCACTGTGCCACCAAGATGTCCTTACTGCCTCCTTACCCTTTTACATGTATGTCTGTGTGTGTGTATGTGTGCATATATGTATATGTGTATGTATGTATATATATACATATACATACACATATGTGTATATGTGTATGTATATGTATATATATACACATATATATTCTACACACCTCTGAGCTGAGGCTATATTTTTCATGTTAACAAATTCCATAAGAAAATTGCTAGAAAGTTCAATTTAGTTCTTTTTGATTTTCAGAACTTTTGCTAGTGTAACCAAGTACTTTTTTTTTTTTTAACAATTCTTAAAAGGGCAGCTAGGTGGCACCTGGATAGAATGCCAGGCCTGGAGTCAGGAAGACTCATCTTCATAAGTTCAAATCTGGTCTCAGATACTTAGTAGTTGTGTGACCCTGGGCAAGTCACTCAACCCTGTTTGCCTCAGTTTCCTCATCTGTTAAAAGAATTGGAGAAGGGAATCACTCCAGTTTCTTTGACAAGAAAACCCCAATTAGGGTCATGAAGAGTCAGACATGACTGAAAAAAGACTGAACTGATTCTAATGTAAGGAAATAAAACTTTAATCAACCAACAAGTATTTCTCCAGCACCTACTAATATGCCAGTCACTGCAGCTAGGTGTTTGGCGATACGTGTACAAAGAATGGAACAACACACCATTATTTTCTTTAGTAATTTTCACCTGTACATATACCCTCAACAACCATATTTCCATTTAGATTACGGGAAAAAAATATGTTGTCACATAATTTCCTGCCTTTAGAGGGCCGAGGGCCGAACAAGATGGTTATTTAATTGCTGGGAGCTAGGGCCCATCCTCAGCTCTAGAGTCATAAAAGCTTTGCTTGGGAAGGGTGGAAACAGTTTCTATAGCGACTGGGAGGGTGGGGAGGGAGGGTGGGTCCTTCTACCCGCTTAGGAAATTACCCAGTTTAGTCTCTTGCTGCAGCCAGGTCAGGCTGCTCCGGCTTGGTGAGGCTACTCCAACACCTGCCCCCACCGGACCAAAGTAAGGAGGAGCGGGGAAGGGGGTCGCTTTATGACGCACCTCAGAACCTCCCACCAACCTGGCCCGCCCCTCAAGGCGGACAGGAGGGACCCGGGACTGAGGGAAAGGGGGAGGGAAGGTTATATAGAAGGAGAGAAGGTAGGAGGAGGGGAATGGCCGGGCAGGAGGGTAGAAGTGAGGGAAGGAAAACAGGGTTTGAGGAGCTCCATTCCATATCCTTTCCCAAGGCCCAAGGATCTGCCATCCAATCTTTTCTGCCACTTGTGTCCAGAACTGGGGTTTGGAGGGGAAGAAGATGGAACTTAGGGGACTCCGTGATACCTCCAAAGGTGTACTCGCAGCCACGCCCTCATTCCTGCTCCTGTTCACTTAATTTCTTCCATTTTCTCATGTCATTCCCAGCAAGGCTGATGGTGAGGAAAGATCAGTCATTCCTGACCATAATGAGCTATCTTTTAACCGCCCTAGCTCCTATACCCACATTTCCATCTGTAAACATAAGCTAAGCAACCATTCACATTTAAATGATGCTTTGCAGATTATGAAATGCCTTCTCTTGAACCTCTTAACCTAAGCCTGCAGTGGCTGTGGGGGTAGGGTTGGACATGAGAGCTGTCTTCTAATATTTGAAAGGCTGTTATCACTGAAGGGATTACATTTATTTTGCTTGACTCTTGTGGGCAAAAACAGAATCAAGGAGTGGAAGTGACTGAGGTGGGATGTATAGATTTCACCCCAATTTAAGGAAGAATTTCATAAAAATTAAAATTGCCCTAAAATAAAACTAAGCACCTCCTGGGGTACTGAGCTTCTTATCACAGGACAGCTCATAAAAAGAGATTGTAGAGAGATTTCCTCCATCCAGAAGGAAGTCATACAAGATGAATTCTAAAGTCACTTCCAGTTCTAGGATTCAATAATTCTAGGTAGGTAGGGGAGGTATCATTTATCCCCATTTTACCAACGAACAAACAAACTCTGAAAGATTCAGACTTGCCCAGGTTGACACACCTAGTAGTAGAGTCAGAGCTTGAACTGGGGTCTTCTAACCCTTAGTCTGGGGCTTTTTCTTCTATATACTCTAAAACAAGACCATAATGGTCATGAGTTTCCACTCATGAAGAAACTCATCTACTTGTTCTTAGGGTTATCACCTCCTTCCACTGTGATATATATGTACAATATTGGCAGCATTCTCAGGGATTAGATTTTTTTTCAACCTGTAGTTGATCTGTGAGATTTGTTCTATTAACCCAAATTGGGCAAATCCATAAATAAAATGTAATCACATGGTATATTATATCATATTAACTCACATAAAGGAGACCCTTCACATGCTAACTTTTTAAGTCTCTAAGGTAGGAAAATACAAAGGTTTAGCCAAGTTAAAATCTGTTATGGTCATTATGGGATAGAGATGTGTAATTAACCATGTAATTAAACATGGCACATGTGCTATATGTGTGTTTAGTGGATATAACTTTGGGACCCAATAATGCTTGGGCTAACTAAAGCATATGGACACTACTTCAAGACTGGCGGGGGTTGATCTACAACGTGAGATATTCAAAAAGTGGGAAAGGGCAGTGGCAGAAAACATAAGGAAACAAGGAGAGGCAAGTAATAGAGTTCGAGTTGTAGGGGGAGACAGAAGATAACACATTTGGAGAGGAATATGCCATGGTATCCTCAACCTAGCCATTGTGTTTGGACCCTCATGACTCCAGAGCTAAGACAAGAAGTTTTAGCCAATTCTCAAGCCTGCTTGAGAGAGTCTTTGAAAAGACATTCCAAGAGACAGATAGATGGCAGCACAACTTAAGTATTTACCACTGGATCTGTGAGTTCTGAAGACCACTGGGTCTTGTGTCACCTTGATATGGTGGGGGAATCAGCAGCAGCAGGATTTAAGGGGAATTCACTTGTAATATCCTTGGAGGTATATTAATTTCCACTTATTTGTGGAGTAGGTTAATAATAACTCCCTGTTAATAATGATGATGATGATAATAACAACGAATATTTTCCTAACTTTGATTTGTAAAACTTTTATATGAAGTTTGATGTTGCAAAGTTTTAAACTATTTAAGCCATTAATAAAGCTTAAAACTACACTAAAACTTTTGGGACAACCCTATATTATCTCACTTTATCATCACAATAACCTTGTGAGTTTGGTGTTATTATCCGTTTTTGCAAATGAGAAAACAGAGGCTGAGAAAGGTTAAGTGACTTGTCCAGGGTCACAAAGCTAATAAGTTTCTGAGGCAGGTTTCAAACTTAGGTCTTCCCAATTCCAAATCCAGTTCTTTATCCACTATGTCATCATGCCATCTCTTATCTACCTTGTTTCATGTCTTCATTAAATGCTTTTGCATTTGATTGTGTATTTATATAGCCTGGCAATAGAAAATGGACTTGATTGCAGGTTATGCAGGTGATGCAAGATGTATCATTGATTACCCAAAATAACCATAGTGAACTTGGGCAGACAGCAAGGTATTAAATTTGTGGAAACTCATGTTTTTGGAATGCTGGGTCAAGTTAAAGCTCAATCTGCCTTCTGTATCATTGAAAGGATGCAGTAAATATTTTTTAAAATTGGGATAGGTGTAGGCATTGATATTTAAAGATTTTTTTGGTGTGTTACCACCATGCTTTTATATAATAATCTCCATGCTGGTTACACTGAAGATTCCGCCCCCGCCCCCCTTTTTTATTCTAGTTTGTAATTGGATAGCCGGCTTTCCAATGAAAACTCCATTGCAGGCCAGACAAGTTGATTCAAATAACCACTGTGTCATTTTGTGGCAAAATGTCACTGTACTTGTTTATTGCTGAAGTGACATTATATCCTGTACAGTATAACTTTAAGTGAAATCCAGCTATGTCGAAGGGTACTGGATAGTTAACTGTGTGCCAGTCAGTCAGCAAGCATTTAGTGAGGATGTGCCAGGTACCACTGAAGTGATGTTGTCCAGCTGTCAGTGTACATTGTATACTCAAATCATCATTAGGCCAAATAGTCATCACAGCTATTCAGTTACTGGGAAACTGATGCAAAGAAGTAGGGCTTGCCCTCTTGAGGACTACTGATTTTAGGTATTCTTCATTCTGATGATATTGTAAGGACTTTACAATCTGTTGTGCAACCTTTAGGGAGGAGGCATGTTAGATACTGGCTGAGGTATCTAGGAAGGAAGGCAAAGTAGTGGTTGTATTACGTAAGCTGTCTGAAAATCAGTAGGACATTCTGAGATTCTCAGAGAGGTAATTGTTGAAGGGGTTACTTGGAAAATAGTCATTAAGCACCTTCCTAAGGTGTTTAAAAAACCTTTATGATGAAAGAAGAATAGATTAATAATGATATTCAAGACCTGCTGAAGGAGTCCATTCCATCCTCAGCAGCTGGTCACCTTATGTTTACATCTTTAGCAGCTATAAGGCCAAATTAGTCACAGGGCACTGAAGCTGACCAATACTATCACAAGGGACTCAATACAAAAATGATAGTCTTTTCAGAGGGATATCCCTGCCTGCCAAGAGAAGAATACTTAATGTAGGAGTGATGGAACTGATTTAGAGAAATATAGGAGACTAATGGGGACCCTTGGAATTGACCTTATATACTTTATTGTTCTTTAGTCGTTTCAGTTGTGTCAAACTCTTTATGACCTCTTTTGGGGGTTTTCTTGGCATAGATGCCAAGTTTGCCATTTCCTTCTCTAGCCCATTTTACAGACAAGCAAACAGGGTTAAAGTGACTTGCTCAAGGCAACAGCTAGTAAGTGTCTGAGGCTGGGTTTGAACTTGGGTCTTCCTGACTCCAGGCCCAGCACTCTATCCACTGAGCCACCTAGCTGGCCATATATGCTCCATAGTAATGGCATAGAAGACTGGAAATTTCTGGATGTGCATAGCCTATTGGACTTTGGGAAGGGAAAAAGCATTTATTAAGTGCCTACTATGTGCCAGGCACTATATACTAAGCACTTTACAAATATTTTCTCTTTTGATCCTTACAACATCTGTCTGGGGTAGGTGCTATTATGATCCCCATTTTACAGTTGAGAAAACTTGGTCAAGTAAGAAGTTAAGTGACTTGGCCAGGGTCATATAACTAATAAGAGTCTGAAGGCAAATTTGAACTCAGGGCTTCCTGACTCCAGGTTCAGTGCTCTATCTATTCAGCCACCTACCTGCCTCTAACTAACTGCTTTTCTTTGAACAATAATGGAATGCAAGAATGTGTATTTTGTATTTGAAAATTCCACATGCAGTGTTATATTTTTGCATTTGATCTATGTAACCGGTATACTGAATGCAAACTTTTATGTGGATGCTGTTACGTATTTGGGATAATTTCCTGTCCCTATACTTCATATCAATTAAAGAATGCTTGTGATATGTGATTTTATATGGGCCTGTGTACTTGATGAGATTATGGGTTTTGTTGTTGTTGTTGTTTTTCATTTATTTGTTTTTACCAGAGGAAGGAGGTAACATATCTTGTTACTCTCTGGGTTCAGAGTAGCTGTTTGGTGTAACCAATTATACGGTTTCTGACTTGGCCTCAATCCACTCTATTCTTTATGGAAAGACCATACAAGAAATACATCAATTCAATACAAAAGCATTAAATTAAGACATGAGACATAAGACATGACATAAAAAAACAGGGAAGGGAATCAAATAGCAAATGTATTCTTGGCATTCAGACACATATGAGAGCAATCTGCTATACCTTCGGGGAAATTATCATCTAATTCCCTTTTAATTCATCTGATTCTCTAACATAGTAAGAGGGCACAATCACTTCTGGATTTCTAACCCCAATGACAAATGCTTAGGATGTAAAGCCATCTTCTTGGAATGCCTTTCCCAGGAGTCTTTTGAGACAGGCTAAAGAAATCTCTTGTAACAGCAGCCTCTCTGAGTCACGGTGGCCATATTGCTCCAAGTGTTTCTCTTCTGTCTCCCTCCTCTACCTGGAACTTTGCTTCTTGCCTCTCCTATACATTTTCCTGCTATTTTGTCCCACTTTTAAAACCCCCTTTCTTATAAAGCACAGTCTACCTCTCAGGGTTCTCAACTGGTCATACAGTCAGTCCAAGCATTGTGGGAAAAGAAATCCTAGAGTTATATGTCTATATGCATAGAATGTGTCTGAAGTCACCTAAAGATAATAGACTTGGAAAAAAAATGTGTTTCAGTACTCTGTGCTTAGGGATGCTTTTTTGAATCCTAAACCATGTGACTTTTTCTGCCAGCTCTGTGATTGAGGTTTGGGATTGTCTTCTCTGAGTTTCAGTTCCAGTCTGTAACAAGGCAAATTGCTCTCAGCCTGAAGGTCTCTAGTGGTATTCAACAAGACTTTGTTCTAGGACATTTCCTGTTCGTTAATTAATAAATTGGATAAGGACATAGGTGGCATGTTGACTAAAATATTGTGCTGAAAAAAATGAAAAGGGATAAAAATTAAATGAGAGGTAATGTGGTACAGTGGGTAGAGTGCTGGTTTAAGTTTCAGGAAAGTATGGGTTCAAGTGGGGATTAATGTGATTTTATACTGATAGAGGTGTTAAGAGAGGTGGCACTCTATGTTCTACCTTGGTCAGACCAAATCTGAAATATTGTGTTCAGTTCTGGATACCACATTCTAAGAGACATGAAAAAGTAGTGGTCAAAGAAAGACAACTAGAATATTGGGTATCTTTGAAACAAGTTTACGTGAGAAATAGCTAAGGAAAGGGGGGATGAGCTTAGCTTTGGAGATATGACTGATGTGGGTTGAATTGTGACTGTCTGACTGCTCCTCTCCATTCAAGGCAAACCCATCAACTGTGGATATCACAAGACTCTAATCTTGTCCCTCTTCTCTTTCACATGATTTCTCTTGGTAATCTCATCAACTTCCACAGGTTGAATGATCATCTCTATATGTATGATTCCAAAATCTTTACATCCAGTCCTAGGCTCTCTCCTCACCTTCATTCTTGCATTGCCAACTGACTCCTGGGCATCTCAAACTAGATGCCCCATAGGCATCTCAAACTCAACATGCCCAAAACAGAACTCATTATTTCTTCCCCAAACCCTCCCCTTTCCTTAATTTCTCTATTATTATTGGGGGTAACACTTTATTCCTTATGTGCACTCAAACCCACACAGCCAGTTTGTCATCAAATCTTGTCGTTTCTAACTTTACAACATTTCTCCTATATGGCCCCTTCTATGCTCTCATACAGCCACTACCCTGATACAGGCCCCCATCACTTTCTAGACTATTACAATAGCCATCTCATTGTCTCCCTCCCTCAAATCTTTCCCCACTCTAATCTATCCTCCATACAGCTGCCAACATGACCTTTCTAAAGTACAAGTATGATCCTGCCACCTCCCCTACTCAGCCAACTCTAAAAGTCTCCTTTTACCTCCAGTATCAAATCAAAACCCCTCTATTTGACTTTTAAAGTCCCTCCCAACCCAACCCCTTCCCACCTTTCCAGGCTTCTTATACTTTATCACCCTCTGTGTACTCTACAGTTGTAACTCTGTCCTTTACTATCTTTTCCCCATACCTAGAATGCCCTCCTCCCTTACTCCTCTTAGCTTTTCTGGCCTTCTTCAAGACTTAGCTCAAGTGGCAGTTAGGTGGTACAGTGGATAAATCTCCCACCTTGGAGTCAGGAGGACCTGAGTTCAAATCCAGCCTCAGACAGTTGATGCTTACTAGCTAGCTGTGTGACCCTGGGCAAGTCACTTAACCCTGACTGCCTAAGCAAAAAAAAAAGACAGCTCAAATTCCATCTTCTGTAGGAAGCCATCTTCCACTCTTAACTGCTAGTGCTTTCCCCCTGAAATTTATATTTCTACTTATGCCCATATATATCTCATATATATATAGATCTATATCTATATATCTATATCTATATATATCTATATATATATATATATATATATCTCATATATATAGGGTATATTGTCTCCCCCATGAGAATATGAGGTCCTTAGAAGGCCAGGACTATGTTTTTGCCTTTTTTAAAAAAATCCCCAGCACTTAGCCCATAGGATCTGACACATAATAAACACTTAATAAATGCTTGTGATAATAAATGACTATTGACCAGTTAACTGTAATATGGAAAAAAAACATGCAGACTTGTTGTTTTTCTAGAAGACAAAACTAAGATTAAATTAAGGAGACAGATATTGGTTCAATATAAGTAATCAAGAGTTGATCAACGATAGAATGGACTGCCTGGCAAAAAAAAAAAAGTAATGAGTTCTTCATCACTAGAAATGTGAATTCCCTATCCCTGGAAAGAAATATTTAACCAGAGTTTGGATGACCATCTGTTAGATACATTATTGAGGGAATTGAGTGTGGAGGTTGGCTTAAGCCATCCCCAAGCATCCCTTCTAACTCTACAAGTAAGTCCCTGATTTGGGGGATGATATGTGGCTCCTCCACATATCACATCTTTGGCAGAAGTGAGTGCAACTTTAAAAACATTGTTTCCTGTTCACAGAAATACAATGGGAGTCCCTACAAGTCGTACAGTGCCTCAATTTCTGCTCCAAAGACAGTTCCCCAGGGAGTAAAGCCTGTGTTGAATGAAATAGAAATACTGAAATCACAACAGGTAAATCTCAAAAAAAAATTTACTATTTGGAAATGGAAATTGCACTGTATACATATATCATGCATCCTTCAGTATTTTGAGGACAGAGTGTGTAATACTCTTATTAAAGCTTGATAAAGTCTTTGAAAATTGCTGTGGTCAGAAAAATCACCCTGGCAGCCAACATTGATGAGCCTTTTGGAACTTCAGTGAGCTGGTGGTCCTCAGATGCTAGGCATGCTGTGTGTATCACTAGGCCTGAATTCAAAGCCCTTTGAGTTTGGTAGGACCTGAAAGCTTATACTCCACTGGCATAACTTTTGAGAATTCAGATGTCATCTTTCATACTATGATTGGGCATGAGAACAGGACTTTAGTGTATGATGCATAATCTCCATGTGTGATATAAACTCTTTTAATAAAGTTCTAATTGTGACACTTTTGTTTCCTTCATCACATATTTACAGAGCACCTACTAGATGTAAAGTCCTATAAGTAATACAGAAGTATAAGACACTGTCTCCTGCCTTCTAGAGCTTTCCAGTCTAGCTGAGGAGATAAGATACATTCCTATTATATTTAAATAATGATATAGTATTTGACCAAGTATCAAAATTATTTTTATAGCCAATAAAAGTTCAGAGGCAGGCATGGCCTAGATAGAACAAGGGCGGGAATCCTATAGCCTCGATGGCACTTCTAGGTCCTTGGGTGTAGCCTTTTGACTGAGCCCAAGTTTTACAAAATAAATCCTAGGGGATTTGTTCTGTGAAGTTTGGATTCAGTGAAAGGGCCTCACTTAAGGACCTAGAGGGCCACATGTGGCCTCAAGGCAGCATGTTCCCCAATCCTGGCCTAGAATAATCAGAGTTTGAGAATAAAATTAATAACAACAACTCACATTGCTGTAGCAGTTTAGCCAGTTTGTAAACATTTATTAAGCTCCTACTGTGTACCAGGCAGTATGCTAAGTGCTGGAAATTTACAAAGTACTTACCTTCCAACAGCTCTGTGAAATAAATAGTGAGGTTATTATTATTATTATTACCATTTAACAGATTAGGTAACTGAGGTTCAGAATTTAGGTAACTTACCTGAGTTCGTACAGCTAATAAGTGTTGGAGCCAGAACTGGAACCATCCCTTCTGACTTCAAATCAATATTTTCAATTCCAATTCCAGTTTTCACAACAACTCTCTTTGTAGACCTGGCCGAAGTGGTTTAATTAAACTTTCTTTTTGCTGTATATTTCACAGGATACCATGAAGTTAAACTAAACTAAATGCTCACTTGCCCCCCTTTTTGTTATGTGCTCTCCCATGTCATTCCTTTGTATATATCCTCCCTTTTGCCTAGAATGGACTTTCCCTTCTGCTGTCACTCCATCTTCTTTCTTCTTAGGCACCAGTGAAGTCTTTTCTGATCCTGTCAATTGAAAGCTATCAGTCTTCCTTTCTTATTTCTTAAAATCTACTTCCACGACTTCTGCTTTGTACTTAGTAGAATTCTGTTTTGTATCATAGTTATTTGTGTACACGTCTTATCCCTACTCCTTTCTATTATTGGGTCATTAGAGGAAAGATTTGTGTCTTGTTCACCTTTGCAGCTCTAGCAGGATGTCTTGAAAGTGGTAGACATTTAATAAAGATTCCTTGAAATTAACTAAATACAGGAGCAATGTGTACAAGTAGTTAAGAGTTATTATGAAAAACAATACCATGAAGGAATAAATAAGACGGAAGATTTTTTCGCTTGGAAAAAAAGGACCTTGTTTATGTGTATTTTAAGCTGACTAAATTATTCAGAATGTGGATGGTTAGGTAGAATGGAGCTCAATAATACCTCTTTGTAGACTGATAATCTTTTTCATAGAATCAGAATCTTAGAATGTTCAGGTCACAAAACTGGCTACTAGCAGAACTAGAATTCTTATTTCTCAGCTCCTAGTTCAGGGCTTTTTCCACCACACAAGCTTTTTCTTCAGTGTCTGCTTATTCATTTTACCTTCCAAACTATAAATGCTGGTAAAAGAAGCAAGCACTCAGAGGTCTTTCAAATTATTATTTTCTTTAATAGTTTCATCCTCTCTGTGTGAGATAGGCAGAGGGAGCGCTGTCAGTTCCATTTTATCAATGGAGAAACTGGAGAAATGATGTTTATATTATATTAGTATAATAGTTTATATATGTATATAACAGTTTAGAAACCATTTTCACATCTGTTATCTCATTTGATTCACAACAACCCTTTGATACAGTGCCAAATATTCATATCCCAATTTAATGGATGAAGGATAATTAAGACCCAGAGAGGTTATATGACTTGCCCGATGTCGCACAGTGGCAGAGTTGGAACCTAGATTTTTTGATACCAAATTCAACAGGTCCCTGACCCAACCCTCATCTATGGCCTTCTAGTTTTAGGAATTACGTGAAGAAAACTTGGGTTTGTGTAAGCATTTAATTAAGCATGAATAACTATAACCAAAAGCTACAAAGAATGTACAGGCTTAGCTCAAGTCCAATATTTCCTCTGGAAAAAAGAACCTTGTTTTATTCATTAAACAATTTCCCATTCTCCTCTTTTCTCTATCAGATGTGTTTCTTCCTCATTCCTCTACTAATGTCACGTAAGCATCTGCCTTGGATGTCCTATTTCTGTTGTTGCTTTCTCCCCACCCCCCATTTATGTTGCCTTGAATGTGCTCAGTCCAAGTTTCAGGTGGTGGGGTTGGGGTAGAAATTCTGTTGGACACCATACTTCTGTACTTGTATTTGTCACTGCCCTGATGCATTGTCTGTTCACCTCCAGTTGTCATATCCTAGGTCCTGATTACATTCTTATAGACATTCTTGTGACCATATTTCCCTGTGGTGAGGCATCTAGAATAGATTATGTTTCAGCTTTGAGGATAAAGGAGCCCCATTTCTCCGCGCCATTCCATTTCACTTTGTATCTTTAAGAGAGCGTGCTTACTATACTAAAGCATCATCAATGAGAGATTAGAAAGATTATTGGAAATTCCATGGTGAAGCTTTTCTCATCCCAGCCAGATCTTGACTAATTTTAACTACCAGCCCCCCCCCCCTTAGCAACTGTAATACTTCTCTACCTTTTAGTGTAATAGATATGGAAAATGAAGAATAGATATAAAACTTTTTCCTTCATCTATAGTCTTGAAATGGTGTCTGACTAGAATAAACCCCCACCATCTTCTCATCTTATCTGTTTTCTAGTATTTTTTAATATATTGATACCAGGCCTATATAGTAAGAAGGAATAGAAGCAACACTCTAAATTCAAACAAAATCCAAATGAGAAATTAAAGTCCAAGACCAGAGGAAGTGAATCAACAATTGTGGCTCCACCATGCATATATCAGAAGTCTCTGAGACATGTGATCTATGCAATATATTGCCCTACCCAGGTGTTGTAGGCAAGCTATAATAACAACTTCTCCACTGTCTCTCTAGCAAATTGGTGAATCTCCTATCATTTTTTAAAGGTGACTGATTTATAACTAGAGTATCTGAAGAAGTAGGCACCTTCCCCATAGTTGTGTTAAAAAATTCCCAGGGAATCCTAGCCCAACTTACCTGACTCTCCAAAATGAAGTTGTGTAAACCACTACATCCTTTCCTATAGATTCCCTTGTGTGCTCACTATGAACTCAAAGGACTGCCATAAACCTGGGCTCATATTGGGTTACACTGATGTAGTGGACATGTGGTAGGTGTATTGTCTAGAGTGCTGGAATTAAAGTTAAGAAAACCTGAAGTAAAATCCTGCTTCAGAAGCACTGACTGTGCAGATCATTTACACTGAACCCTCATCTATGAAATGGAGATAGTAATAGTTTCACAGGGCCGTTGTGAGGCTCATATGAGAAAATATATGTATAAAACTTTGCAAACTTTATTGTTATTATTGATATTGCTATTAAGCCATAGAATGTCTCAAGTCCCAGGGTCAACAAGTGCCAGCAATTACTTGGGATAACAGGTTTCTGCATAAGGGATGCAACAATGTATAACCATCCAACTTTTTTTTTCCCCCTGGAGTCAGACTTAAAGTTCCCATGGTCCCTAGACAGTCCCAAGGGGGACCCAAATGACTTCTCCATGAAAGTTAGCCTAAATCCTGATGTAATTCCTAGGTACTGAGATGGTAAGAGTAAAAATTATGGTAAAGATGATAAAATCTCAATGAATTTTATCCCAGGTGGACAGCATTTCAGCCACTAGGAGATACATTGTGACCCAAATCAGTTCCCTTGTAAGAAGAGAAGGTGATTATTTATCAACACTAGTCTCCAAAACAGCTTTGCAAAATAGTACACCTTTCCCAATATGTATTGTCCCAGCTAACATTCCAAGCCTTTTAGCTGAGCTGGCTAGAACTGAACCAGGTTATTTATGGATAGGCAGTACCCATTCCTTGCAGGTTAATGTACAGGTTACCTCCCTGAGGGTGCTTTGTACTAGTCGGGCCAATACTTGCTCTGGTGGGCATTGTGACATGTTGAGGATTCGTTTCTAACCTGTTGCCACATATTGGAAAGCCCTAGATCTAAATTATTTGTGTGTTATGTTGTTCAGTTGTTTTAGTTGTGTCTGACTTTTCATGACCCCATTTGGGGTTTTCTTGGCAAAGATCTAGAGTGGTTTACCATTTCCTTTTCTAGCTTATTTTACAGATGAGGAAACTGAGGCGGATAGGGTTAAATGACTTGCCCACGACCACACAGCTAGTAAGTGTCTAAGGCCAGATTTGAACTCAGATTTGTATGTTATGGGCTACGTCTATTGTTTTTGTATCTCTAATTCCCATCTTTCCCTTTCAGTAATTCGAGGCACAGATTACTCGTATCCATATACTTGTACATTTAGTCTACACTCAGTCTACTGTCTAATTCCTCACAGTATATGTGACCCAGGATTGTGTTTCCCATTACATCCTAGTCTGGTCCCAAACTTGTTCAAGGAGGTCTGTTCTCTGACGAGAAAAAGAGGCTTAGAATA